ACCGGGTCGTTAGTGGGATCCAGGATCCACTGCCAACAGAACCGGGTTGTTAGTGGGATCCATGAACAATAAAACTGATGAACCTGTTAGATTTGGGTTGGTTCCATCTGAGACCTCGGGTCACCTTCAGCTTTCTAAACCCTACAGAACCTTCTCCCTCAGAGAAACAAGCCACAGACCCTCAGGAGGGAGGGGAGGGAGTTAGACCTGCATGTGAGTTGAGCTGCACCTCGTGAAGTGTAAAGTTTGGACCTCCACGCTCTGATGTGCAGAATTCAGAACGCTGAGCGGGTGAGAAGAGGAACAGGAGTCTGGTTTTGATTACTGAGTTCTGGAGACTCTAAACCAGAACCCTCCCAGAGACCATCGTCCACAGATGCTGCTTAAAGCTCTATCAGACAAACAAGAAGCCAGATCCAGAACTGCTGCCATCCTCTCTGGACCAGAGCTCACTTCAAATGGACTGAGCTGAAGTCCAGAACTGTTCTGAGGTCAGACGGGTCCAAATCTGAGGTTCTGTTTGAAAATCACACTTCTGTAAGAGGAGGAACCATGCAGCCTGGTATCTAAAGCCTGCCTCTCTGATGGTATGGGGGTGCATTACACAGTTGGAAAAGGTTCCGAACAACATCCCAAAGCGTTGTAGAACCGGGTCGTAGCTAAAGTGATGTGCGGACTCACCGAACCCGGAGCAGAGCAGGCCCAGGAGCAGCAGCGGAGCCGGAACCATCATGTCAGCTGTTTGATTGAGAACTGGACCGGGTTCTTCTGGGTCTCAGAAGCAGTGCATCAGTGAAGTTCAGGTTCAGTCACAGGGACAAGTCCGGCAGCTACATGCAGGTTACAGGTCGGACCTTCTGGACCTTCGCTTCAGAACCACCAGCAGAACCACCTCAGATCTTTGGCTCCGGACTGCAGCAGGTTCTACCAATCCTCTGCTCTGATCCGGATGTTCTGTCACCTGAGCTCCAGAACCAGAATCTGGGCCCGGACCGACAGCTTCCCTGTGACCGAGGTGCTACTGGTTCAGCTGAAACCGAACCTGACGTCTACACGGACCGGTTCTGGGTCAGATGGATGATGAAGATACCAGGCCTCCTCCCTCGGATTCATCTGATCTCCCCGTGCGCGTGGAAACGACGCTTCATCCGCGAGAGCATCGCACATCAAAGGCGCGCGGACGGATTCCAGAAGACGAAACCGGACGGTTCGGACCGAACCCGGGTCGTTGGTTCCGCTTCTTCCTGCGACGCCACAGCAGCTCCGCCTCTCCGGCCTGCTGCGGATGCACTGCGGTAAAAACGGGCGCGCGCGCGCGTCAGCAGGTGATGCTGCGGTCAGGTGGTCCTTAAACCCGCACGCGCTCAGGTCACTGCATCAAAACACAGAACACAGGTTTAACAGACACAAGCATGAGCTGAGTGCAGCCGAACCGAACCGGAACCGAAGCTTCCTGTCAGAAAACAGCAGGATCACCAGAATCAGCCGGAAACTCTGATTTATTAAAGGTCAAAACAACAACAAATTATTATTATTATTATTGTTGTTGTTGTTGTTGTTGTTGTTGTTGTTGTTGTTGTTGTTGTTGTGTGTTCAGAGGATAAATTGATGCTGCTTTCAGAAAAACTGGGAAATCTATAAGTTAGATGCGCTGCCTTCGCTGTCACCTGACAGCGTGGAATTTATGATTTCCAATTTGTTAAAACTAAAAGTAAGCCACCAAATAAAATAAAAATATCTTAATCATAACTCTGCTAAGGTTTCTAAGACCCAACTTGTGCACTGCTCATTAAATAAAGAAACATTCCCCACATTAAATATATATTTGTTAAGTTTGTTACAATAAAACAAAAGAAAATAATTTCAGAGCATCTTACCTCGTTTATTTTCTCATTTATATAACTCTCATAACATTTTATTTAAAAAATACAGATAAGAGACAACCAATAGAAATAAAATTGTTTTTTCCCTCTTACTTTCAGCACAAAAGCTAAATGACGTAAGTTTGAGACGTAACTTTCAGTTCCGAGGCGCAGTGAAGGCACCTTTAGCTTCTACTAGCTTTATTTAAATGTCTGCGATTTTAACACAAACGGGCCGAAATACTTCGCATCTAGAATCAACGAGTTGAAATGTTGTGCTGTGAATAATCGGCAGGATCTCGTGGGACAGTAAAAAGGTCGAAACAACGAAGGTAAAGTAAGAACAGGGACAACAACGAAGCTAACTGACATTAGCGGAAGCTAGCTGTTAGCGGCTAACGCGTTAGCATAAAGCAGGAAAAGGAGCGTTCAGCTGTTTCTGGACAGATCAGTGTTTTTATAAAACATTCATGCATTTATCAGCCTGAATCAGTCTGCAGGAGTTTGATTTACAGATAGAACGTGATGTAGTTAGTGTTTCAGTGATTTCACTCATTAAACAGGAAACACAACATTATAAAAACAGTTTGTTTTTAGGTTATGACGTACTAACAAAAGGTTTATTATTTAACCAAAATATGAAAAACAGGTTCCAGGTTCTGATCCAGCAGCCTGTAGAACCTCTATTAGCAGCAAGAACTCTGTGGTTTTCTGCAGTCTCTATGCATTGCACGGTCTGACCTTTGGGGTGCATTTACTTGGGACGTCCACTCCTGCAAAGATTGACTTGTCTTCAAATGTTGATGCTCAGATGAATAAATTAAATGAAAGCAGTGATGTACAATAAAGTCATAATGCAGGAATTTGTGCTTTTTCAACACGTTTCACCCTTTTAATCCAGAGTTGTAACTAAGTCTCCCTAACTATCAGCTGAAAGTGATCATTTGTCTGCGGTGTTTTGGTTCTGTCAGGTTTCTGTGACCATGGAGCCGAACTGCTGCGGTTCTGCAGCTCCGTCCGGTTTGACGGTCCAGGTGTGTTTTCCCGGCGCCCGTGCTGCAGTTCTGGACAATCTGAACCGGCAGCGTGAGGAGGGCCGGCTGTGTGATCTGTCCATCCAGGTCCAGGGTCAAGTGTTCAAAGCCCACCGCTGTGTGCTCGCTGCATCCTCACCTTACTTTCATGACCAGGTGGGTTTAGCCACGTGTTTCTGTTCATACGTGTTAATAACACGTTAATAACACGCAAAGACCATCTTCATATGTTATAACTTCACAAGAACTTAGATACGGAACATTTTATTCATTCATCTCTCGTATATAAAACTGCGGCGTGTGTCACCTAACTGTTTACAGTAGCAAAAGGCTAACTATAAGCTAAAAGTAGCGAACAGCTAATCATAGCTGACGATTACAATCAGTTTTTGGTTTGTTACTCCTCACAGGTTTTACTGAAGAACGTGACGACCGTCTCCCTCCCCTCGGTCATGGACCCAGTGGCCTTTGAGAGCGTCCTGAGTTCTGCCTACACGGGCCAGCTGAGCATCGTCCACGATGACATCGTTAACTACGTGACGGTGGCCAGCTTCCTCCAGATGTGGCACATAGTGGATAAATGCACCGAGATCCTGAAGAGACCTCGCTTGTCAGGAGAGGCCACCACCGCTCCGCCCGGCTCTGCGTCCCGCCAGCAGTCACCGAGCAGCACCGACTGCCTGTACACGGAGCGGGAGGCCCGGCGCAGGGACAGGAGGCCCGACGCCTTACCGCCGTTAGCCACGTGGAGACGACCGCAGCAGCTGGGGAGGTGGGGTCGCCCCCGCCCCCCATCAGAGCTGCACTCAGCTGACTCCCAGCTGGACGGCCTCCAGAGCTATGTGGAGAATAAAGATTTCTCCTGCTGCGACGAGGCATGGGCTTCAAACCAAAATACAACCAGCTCTCTGGGTCCGGACGGAGCGGGTCAGAACAGCCGGCACCACGGGGCGGGGCTCGGTGGAGACGGTTTAAAGCAGAAGGTGAAGCTTCAGCTGCGAGGAGCAGAAAGACGGCTGGAAAAGACCAGAGAGAGCGATGAGAGTCAGGAGGGGAGGAGGACAAAGACGAGAGGGACTGAGGCTGATGAAGGAGTTGGAGAGGAGGAGAGGAAGGAGGCTCCAATGGGTGAGAAAATTATTTTCTGATTCTGTTTATTAATTTATTAAAACATTGAAGACCACTGTTGAGTCCTGCAGCTTCGACAGTGATGAACTGGAGGTAGAAAGTTGTACGGAGGCGTTTCTCCTTCCAGCGTCTTTGTTTGAAGAGACACATGCAGCGATGGAACAAGTTCAAGTAGTAGGACGGTTAGATACAAACGTTCTCTGAGACAATTTATATCATTCAGAACAGGTGTGTGGTGACGTGGCTCGTTAATGAGCAGCTCACCTGCACCACACCAAAACAAAACACTGTCCCCCCTAGACAAACCAACACATGTACAACATGAGAACACAAACCAAAACTCAACAACCACGAGGAGGGAAACGTGTCAGGAGACAGAGGAGAAGAGGAAAGTCAAGAATGTAGGACTGAGGGTGGACACTCTAATGACAGGCAAAAGTAGAGAGCTGGCTGACATGATGCTGAGAAGGAAGGTAGATGTTTTATGTGTCCAAGAGACCAAGTGGAAGGGCAGCAAGGCTCGCAGCATTGGAGCAGGGTTCAAACTGTTTTACCATGGAGTGGATAGAAAGAGAAATGGAGCCGGGGTGGTCCAGGTCGACTACATTCTGTGTAGAAGAGGAAACCTGAGGGAGATTGGAGACTGTAAGGTTGTGGCAGGGGAGAGCGTGGCCAGACAGCATCGGATGGTTGTGTGTAGAATGACTGTTGTTGTGAAGAAGAGGAGAAGAGTCAAATCAGAGAAGAAGACCAACTGGTGGAAGATGAAGAAGGAAGAATGTTGTGATAAGTTCAGAGAGGATCTGTTAAAGGCTCTGGGTGGTAAGAAAGAGCTTCCAGATGACTGGACTACTACAGCAACAGTAATTAGAGAGACAGGTAGGAAGGTACTTGGTGTGTCATCTGGACAGAGAATGGATGATCAGGAAACCTGGTGGTGGAATAGTGAAGTGCAGGAAGATGTTCAAAGAAAGAGGTTAGTCAAGAAGAAATATGACAGAGAGAGGACTGAAGAGAGGAGACAGGAAGATAAGGAGGTGGGACGTAGAGCAAAGAGGGAGGTAAATAAGGCGAAGCAGAAGGTGTATGATGAGTTGTATGGGAGACAGCAGGACATGTACGAGGACGCAGGACATGTATGAGGACAGCAGGACATGTATGAGGACAGCAGGACATGTATAAGGACAGCAGGACAGTGGTGAGATGTGCTGTAGGAGTGACATATAGTTTCAAGGTGGAGGTGGGAGTGCATCAAGGATCAGCTCTGAGCCCCTTCTTATTTGCTCTGGTGATGGACCGACTAAGAGATGAGGTCAGGCAGGAATCCCCGTGGACGATGATGTTTGCAGATGACATTGTGATCTGTGGTGAGAACAGGGAACAGGTGGAAGAGAACTTGGAGAGGTGGAGGTATGCAATTGAAAGAAGAGGAATGAAAGTCAGCCGTAGTAAGACAGAGTCCATGTGTGTGAATGAGAGGGAGGAGGTGGAACAGTGAGGCTACAAGGAGCAGAGGTCACAAAGGTGCAGGACTTCAAGGACTTGGGGTCCACTGTCCAGGAACATGGGGAGTGTGGTGAAGAGGTGAAGAAGAGAGTCCAGGCAGGATGGAGTGAGGACAGAGGACGGAGAGGTCAAAGTGAGGTGAAGGAAGGTGACTCGCTGTGGCGACCCCTGAAGAGGGAAAGGCTGAAAGAAGAAGAAGAAGAATAAACCTTTTACAGCATTTAGAACATCGAGAACATTTAGAACCTTGAGAACATAACATTTTAGAACAAGTTCTGCGCTGACTGTTAACAAGAACCCTCTCTCCTGCAGACTTCCTCCTGCCTGACCCTGAGGAACGCCTCTCAGGGAGGCAGAGCCTCCAGGGGATAAAGGAGAAGGTCCAGAGAGGTTCTGATGGAGGGGATGCATCCTCTGACCCATCTGGACCAGATGAAGTCCCGGGCAGGGTCCAGTGGCAGACCGGGTCCTGGGCTCAGATGGAGCAGAGACCTCAGGGAGGTGATGATGAAGAGGAGGAGGAAGAGGAGGATGTGGACTTTGAGTGTCTTACAGACAGCACCTTCAGCAGGGACACGTACGATGAGATCGAGGACGGGACGGGTCAGGTGTCCCAGAGGTCTCTGGTGTCTCCTGACTTCAGCCTGGGGGGCTCAGTTGGGACCTGGACGTCCACTGGCGGGGGTCCGGGAGCTTCTCTGACTGCAGCCTCCAGCCACGTGTCCCCGTCAGCCGCGGCCTTTCCTCCTTCACCTCCAACACCGTCCTCCTCGTCCTCGGCGTCCCTCTCTGGACCCGCTTACACTGGAAAAGTCCACTTCTGCCACTGCGGGAAGGCCTACACCCTGAAGAGCATGCGGGACCGCCACGTGAAGATGCAGCACCTCAACCTGCGTCCCTTCGGCTGCCCGGTCTGCACCAAGTCCTTCAAGATGAAGCACCACCTGACGAAGCACCTGAAGACGCACGGGGGGCTGCGGCCCTACGAGTGCGGCCTCTGCGGCAAGAAGGTGGTCTGGAGGGACAGCTTCCTGAGACACCAGGCCCGCTGCCAGAGGCTCGCCGCCACCGGCAACACGGCGGCGCCGGACGGCTTCGGGTTCGATGAAGGGGACCTTTTTGTCCCCACGGGAGCAGTGAAGTTGGAGCAGGGGGACTTCCACAGGGACGGCAGGACGGGTGGACCGCTGGATGAGTCTGGGATGGGACGGAGCTCGTCCCAGAACCTGGACTCTGTCCGTCATGTTTTTAAAGAGGAAGCAGCTGAGAGTTTCACCGGGAGCTGAACGCTGACGGAAACAAAACGTGTAAACAATCTTTGATCTTTTGATGTTTGATTTACACTTCCTGTTTGATGTTTGTTTTAAACTTCCTGTTTTGTTGTTTGTTTTAAACTTCCTGT